TTGTGATTAACATTTTAAATGCAAGTAAATATTTGGGTTATTTGAATACCTATCAAGTTGGAGAAAGTTTAGGATTTTAAAAATTAAATTTAAAATGTAGTGATTCTTTAAGTAACAGGTGCACCCATCATAGCAACCACTGGAATTCATTTTAATGCAACTTACTGGAATATGCAACATGGCCTTCGCATATTAATAGAGCGCTAGATGTGAGGTTGAAGGGGAAGTGCCAGAAAGAGTCTCAAGAAATGCTATAACAAAATCTAGAGCTTTTATTTAAAACAAAGAAACAAAAAGTGTTGGCCTAAACTGCTAAGCAAAACAAAGCAAATAAAATAAAATAGGGTGGTGAGAAAGCCTTCTGTAATCTCCTGGTTCCATTCTTGCTGTCATCGCTGGGTGAACTGGGTTCAAGGACAGCTAAGGATGTTTAGATTGGCAAGTCATCACCTGGTTTTGGAATTGGAGTTGTGATTGTTTAAAAATTACCTTGTGGGGAGCACCCTGGCTCTCACTCCTGACTTTGTTCTCTTGCCCCCCGCAGCTGAGACAGCACCACCCAACTTCGTTCAACGACTGCAGAGCATGACCGTGAGACAAGGAAGCCAAGTGAGACTCCAAGTGAGAGTGACTGGAATCCCTACACCTGTGGTGAAGTTCTACCGGGATGGAGCCGAAATCCAGAGCTCCCTTGATTTCCAAATTTCACAAGAAGGCGAGCTCTACAGCTTACTGATTGCAGAAGCATACCCTGAAGACTCAGGGACCTATTCAGTAAATGCCACCAATAGCGTTGGAAGAGCTACTTCGACTGCTGAATTACTGGTTCAAGGTATGTGCTGGAGGTTGGGGAACAGAGAGAAGGGGAGAGAGCTGTTTTGTGATGAAGTGGGACCAAGGGTTCACTTGCCACCTCTTGCAGCCCTGGGAAGAAGGCTGTGAGCTAATATAAAAGCCGGCTTTTCGACACCCATGAAAAGTCCCTGAGATTCTAGGCAGGAGCGCAGAATGGAAGCAATCTGTGCTTATGAATCTCATTATAAACTGGAAAGGGTTTCAATTAAGTGATCTACATTTCCAAATTATTGGCAAATAATGAAATTTTAAAAAATCGTTCTAAGTAAATTTTTATCTAGTAATGAATGTTTTCTATTTTTAAACCTAATTTATATTCATGCAAAATCTAAAACTTTCTGCAATTTTCTCCATCGGGATACCCAGAAAATCTTTTTGACTTTGTAGTCAGAATTAACAGAATGTCTTTTAAAATGGGTCATTGTGCCCCCTCCTAAACATTCATCTTTCCCTTCCCACAGGTGAAGAAGAAGTACCTGCTAAAAAGACAAAGACAATTGTTTCGACTGCTCAGATTTCAGAATCAAGACAAACCCGAATTGAAAAGGTATTTTTTCTATACTGTTGGTTTTCAAGCTTTTCAGGCTGTTGCGTCCCCAGCTATTCCTCCTCAACGTGGGCTTTGTTTTAATCTTTTACAGAAGATTGAAGCCCACTTTGATGCCAGATCAATTGCAACCGTTGAGATGGTCATAGATGGTGCCGCTGGGCAACAGCTGCCACATAAAACACCTCCCAGGATTCCTCCGAAGCCAAAATCAAGATCCCCAACGCCACCGTCCATTGCTGCCAAAGCACAGCTGGCTCGGCAGCAGTCCCCATCGCCCATAAGACACTCCCCTTCCCCGGTCAGACACGTGCGGGCACCGACCCCATCGCCGGTCAGGTAAAGCTTCCATAGAAAGAGCAGGTTATTGCACATTTTGGAACTAGGTTTTGAAACGAGAAAGATTCCCTCACCCCCTCGCAGGGCATGAGACGCGGAGAGTGGCTCGCTTCTTCAGTGTCCCCCGCTGCTCAAACCTCTAGGGGAGCATTAAAACTGGCAGGTTGTGGGGCTCCGTGTTCCTCTCGACATCCAGCCGCTTGTGTGTCTACCTACTAGGGTCTCAGGGGTTTTTATAGACATAGGGTTGGGGCGTGGCAGGTCAGGGTGATCTTGGGAAATGCAACATTTGGGCAGGAAGGCAGCAGTGCCTGTCCTCACCTAGGTCCGTGGGCACAGGCCTGGCTAGGGACCACGCCCTTCTCTTCCCAGCACTTCCCAGCCCTCCTCCCGTGTAAGTTTCATGCAATCAAAAATGTAGCAGGTGACAAAGGAGGTAAACCAAGAAGTTACTGAATATTATTTTCACAAATCCTCACTGTCCACAGGTAAATTGAAGACCCTTAAAAACTTCTGAATTCTTATTTATATTTCATGTAATAAATATCTACTTTAGGGGCCAAAATATGGCACAATGAAAGGAGAAGAGTACAGAAGTTAGAGTTGAAAGCCCTAAGGACAAATCAGCCTGATCACTTAACAGTTTGATTTAGGGCAATAAGTATAAATAATAAAATAATTGTTACTATATATGGATCACTTCCTCTGTCAGACTGGAACTATACATACATTATCTTATTAAATGTTCACAACCTGTAAGAATTATTATCCTCAATTTTATTGATAGATAACTGGAATTAAAGAAGTTAAGTAGTTTATTTAAGGTTTCAGTTGTGTCATCTGTAAGTTAAAGAGAATGACAATAAGAATGACCTCAAGCTGCGTTTTGGGGGTTCAATGAGATAATTAGTTGAAAGTGCCTTGTAAATATAAAGTAATTATGCCAATATTCTTATATTCAGAGAGTGAGTAAAACCTTTTAAGTATTTTGCATATGCTTGTGTTATTTTATCTAGAAAATAAAATGGACTTCTATGCTTACTTAATATGGAAGTATTTTAGAAGGTGATCATGTATGATAATCAGGGCTCAGAAATTATATAATCAAGTGTAAATTGTCCACAACAGTTTTGAAAGTTTGGGATTTAGTTTATCATGATGAAACTTTTAATATGATGAAATGAAAAATGTACAAAATTTGAGCAAACCAAAAAGTGTTTATTGATCAATTTAAATGAAATAAAAAACACATGATGTTCCCTACTAATAAAATTTTTTATAAAAGAATAATAAGGAGATAGTTGGCTTAAATAATATTCAAACATACTATAAAGTTACTATAATCAGAACAGTATGGTATTGGTAAATGAATAGAAAAATACACCGGGGGAACAACACAGAGAGTCCAGAAAGAGATCCAAGTAGAATAGGTCCAAGTATATAGGGAATTCAAAAAGCAAAGTGACCTTTCAATTCATGGGAGGAAGAGGTATTTTAATAAAGAATGCTGGTCCAATTAGCTATCCATCTGGAAGCAAACAAACACAAACTTCTGCCTCTCACTATTTACAAAGTAAATTTCAGCTTGATTAAATAGTCAAAAAATAAAAAAAAAAAGAGAGAAGACAATTTGCAAAAGCATTTATGGGCGAAAGCTTTTAAAAACACAGTTACAGATTCAACTACATAAAAATCAAAATATATGTATGGCAAAAGGTCATCACTAAACCAAACAGAACTTTTGAAAACATTTTAAGAGGTTTCCCCTCCTCAAGGTACTTCATTGCCTCTGCCATAAAAGTATCATAATAAACATAAAATGGCTACAAGGTGGACAATACCAGCCTAGAAACAGTATATAGCATACACAATTATGTATGTTTATTCTGGATAAGACCCATAAACAAGCAAAATGAAAGAAATGGATCTGGAGGAATGTTTGTAACACTTATGACAAATAACTAATACACTAAATGCATTAAAAATCATCCATAAATTAATTTTTAAAGGAAAATATACTACACAAATAAAAAAAGACAAAAGATACAAAAAAGTATTTCACATGAGAGGCAATGTAAAAGTCCAATAAATATGTGGGAAAAAAATGCTAGATGTTTTCCAATTTTTATTGTTTTAGCCACAAAAATGTAAAGATATTGGCAAACACTAACATGAAACCTTGAACAAAAAGCTTACTTTAAAAAACATGTCTAGCAGTTGAATAAAAAAAAATGTTCAGTCTCAGGCTAAATCCAAGTTTGCACACCATGAAATCACAACACAAGCCAAATGCAATTTCTTGAGGAGATAACAACCTAACTATATTTTAAAACCCAAGCCTAAGGGTCATTTAGAATCATGGAGTGTTCCTGATCCCATGGAGCATTTTGACCATCTTAGTAGTTTTGAAAGTTCATTAATAACCATCCAAATTGCCCCCAAATTTTGCTTTCAAATAATTAAGAAATAAAATGCCAATTTGCAGAGAAAATAATGGTTATCAAAAATAGACTACTTTCTAAATATCTCCTAGTTTAATCTTGAAAGGCAAACATATTTCATTGAATAAGGTGCATTGTATCTTGCTGTGACCAGGTGATTATTTTTTATTGTAAGTGCAGAAATAAGCACTCTCCTATAATGACCAAAATTACAATGATTTTCACAGTTATGGGCTTACCTGTGACCTGCTGTTAATCAGTCATGTCATGCTAATCTTGTCTTTTAACTGTTTTCGAATTAAACCCATTTACTAAGTACAGCAAGAACAAGGCACAGGCTGAAACTTAAAAGTGCATGTCTCTTTGCTTTTCTTCAGTTAGTGGAAACCACACATTATTCTAACTTGGTTTTGGTTATATTTCGAAGGCAGTCGTGTTCAGAAAAGAGACTTGTTCCCTAGATTTTCCTTTAGTTTGATTACGATTTCATTTACAAAATGTAAATGGATTTTCACACAAAAAAAGCCCTTCCTCGAGAAAATAAACATTTCTTCGTGAAACCAGTTAATGTTGTAATGTACTGTTAAGGTACTCTGTAAGTTACAGAAAATATCAACTGTACCTTAAGCTTAATTAGAATAATCATTTCATTTATGATCAGTGTAAGCTAAATATCCTAGATAGTGACAGAATGTATTTATAAACATTTTCTTATATGCAGAATTAATAAAATGCAATGATAGGGCAATACTGCCACCTAGAGAGGAAAATGTAATAAGCCTTATTAAGAATTAAATTAGTTTTGAAAAAAATTTTACCTTACAATAGTAGTCCAATCCCCAGAATTATTGCTATAGATCAGAAATAGTCTTTTTTGGCCATCAGTGCTGGGATTTAGCACCCATATTCTTCAACTGATGCTACTTGCACTTTGGATACATCTAAAAAGCAAACAATGAAAACTATTCTGGAAGAAGCAACTTTATCAATTTAACGAAAAATCACAGAATCATTAGTTTTTAAATTAGTCAATTCCCACAATAACTCTAAAGATATTTAAAATAAGTCCAGAGTGCAATACAAGGAGGGCATGTGCAAACAAATACGGAGGAAATTAAAAGTAGCTGTCCACAAACACTTTAGCTAAAGCAGCAATTTGCAAAGTGCACTGCACAACCTATATCCAGCAACATGCTGCAGAAAGCTTCCTGAGAATGCGTCCTCCTGTCCTGGAAATTCACAAGGCATACTGACATAGTAAAGGCTGTGGGAAGTCCTGCAAGTGGGGGAGGGGGGAGGCTTAAGCTGCTTAGTCAAGAGTGGCACAAACATTTTGATTACAAAAACCTTTCTTCTTATAACACCTATTTGACATCCTCTAACCCCCCAGAATTGAAATACAGAGATGAACTGGGAATACAGAGGTTGCTGGATTTGACATGTCTTGTCTTTGGCTGCATATTAAAGAAGTAGATTTTTCTGTTGTGATTTTTTTTTTTTTTTTAATGTGAGAAGGTGCAAGGCACAAAATCCCCAGCTTATTTGGAATTAAAGCTGATTCTCTTACAGGGTTACAGCATATAAGAATAGGTTTATTGAGATTTAAAACAGATTACTTCCAAGTACATTATTTACCCTCTGAATAGGTTATGGAGGCACACATTTTAAAACTCTGCCTTAAAGCACTTCCAGATTTTCATCCATGATTCACATCCAATTACCTCTACTTGCTTTGACATTCTCGACCTCTGCCTTTGGTTTTCAGGTCCGTGTCTCCGGCAGCAAGAATCTCCACATCCCCCATCAGGTCTGTTAGGTCTCCATTGCTCACGCGTAAGACTCAGGCATCCACCATGGCCACAGGTCCCGAAGTGCCACCCCCTTGGAAGCAAGAGGGATACGTGGCCTCCTCATCTGAGGCTGAGATGAGAGAGACAAGGCTGACAACCTCTACTCAGATCAGGACAGAAGAGAGATGGGAAGGGAGATACGGTATCCAGGAGCAAATGACCATCAGTGGCGCTGCGGGTGCTGCCGCCAGTGTGTCGGCCAGTGCTACCTACGCAGCAGAGGCTGTTGCCACTGGTGCTAAAGAGGTACTGTCAGAATGGTTTTGTTTTTCCTTATTGCACATTCTAGTTTCTCCAAGTGGATTTCTGCCAGAAACTCAGTCTGTATAAATTGGAGGAAAAATGCATATGAACATAAAAATATAGCAGCAACTGAAGACCAAATTCAGTAGTCATGCTTTGTAAAACCATTTTTAATTAGGACAAAAGCTCCAATCTGTGAAGTTTCCATAAAGTACAGGGTTTAATGATATAGCCTCTATATTTCTTGGCAATAATAAATGCTTATATATGAGTGTATTTTGCTCTAGGTAGCTCAGTTTTCCAGTATGCTGTTTTATTTTCTACTGGGCATGTCATTTTAAAAAGTAATCTACTTGGTCATTTCTAATCTAGGTGAAACAAGATGCTGACAAAAGTGCAGCTGTTGCGACTGTTGTTGCTGCCGTTGATATGGCCAGAGTGAGAGAACCAGTGATCAGCGCTGTAGAGCAGACTGCTCAGAGGACAACCACGACTGCTGTGCACGTCCAACCTGCTCAAGAACAGGTACGTGTGAGGCTGCCATGAGGCACCCGCAGAGCCGCGTCCTTCAGTGCACATTTACTCAACCACCATCCACTGAGCTTTGCACGCAGCAGTGCTCAATTCATTCTGAAGACAGCCTTGAGTCCAGCAGGGCCCAGACTTTTAGAACTTTCTGAGCAAAAGGTGGTCTGAGATACCAAAGGTGTTGACAATGTGAACATCAGAAGAGCAGCGTAGGCCAGAAATACCTGGGCTATATGAGCAGGCGAAAGTCAACTATGGTATTCAAGGTAGGCAAAGGATGGCCGGAGAAACAGAGAGCAGTCAATTCCGGAACTCAGTCACTGCACACACTGGACGTGGAAACTACTATTTCAGGGCAAGCATTACATTTCTCTAAGTTTCCCCAAAGGACTTTTGTTTTTACTTTTCTCAAAACAAACATGACACTTGATTCATAGCTAGAACAGTGTTATAAATCCAGGATAATGTCCCACCTCGTATTTGAATAGATCTTCTGTTATAGTTTAAAATCATTCCAGCTTTCCTCCTTACCTCTCTTGTGTGACATTTATGTCTAGATCCTGACAGATTATTGTAACGTTTTTCTTTTTTGAGACAGAGTCTCGCTCTGTCGCCCAGGCTGGAGTGCAGTGGCATGATCTCGGCTCACTGCAGCCTCCACCTCCTGGGTTTGAGTGATTCTTGTGCCTCAGTCTCGTGAGTAGCTGGGATTACAGGTGTGCGCCACCACACCCAGCTAATTTTTGTGTTTTTTAGTAGAAGATTTCACCATGTTGGCCAGGCTGGTCTTGAACTTTTTATGTAAGATGCATTAAAGTGTTTTCTTCCTTTCCTCTATGAAAAGCAGGTGAGAAAGGAGGCGGAGAAGACTGCTGTAACTAAGGTAGTAGTGGCCGCCGACAAAGCCAAGGAACAAGAATTAAAATCAAGAACCAGAGAAGTAATTACCACAAAGCAAGAGCAGATGCACGTAACTCATGAGCAGGTGAAAATGGTTTTCTATTTAAAATTCACTGAGGTTCTTACAGGGGTCAACACAGATAATCACCTTTACCATGAAGAGTGTTGTTTTTTGTGCCATATGGTTGTTAGCATGCTAATAAAATCCCCTTGTTGTATGTGTAAATTTCTGGGTACTGGATACCAAAGTTTGGTAGTGTCCCTGAATGCTCCCCTTATGAGTATGAAAAAGAACTCTGTGAACATACACCAGGGATCTCACCACGTTGATCTGGGGATGTAAGTATATGACTATAGGGAGAGGACAGATGGGTAAAACCAGGAGGAAGAAATCAATGCTGAGGCAGGAATGGGGAAAAGTGGAGGAGACACTGAACTCACTTTGCTTTAGGAATCTTAGCAACTGCTTCCTGGCTACTTGGGAAGACATTTACACATGAGTTTGAAGTGGAATGGACAGCATAGCCTTAACAAGCCAAATGACCAGAAAAGGTGAAAAGGACAGCCCCATGGTTGGCAGCATTTGGGGACAGATTGGAAAAGGCCAGTTAGTAAAGCTCTTGGCCAATGGAACCAGTTGTCAGTTGGGTGGTTTGAGAAGATGAACTTTCAAGTCTCTTTCAGCCTTGAGATTCTGTGTTTCAGTGATGAGATATTTGAGAACAGCACAGAGGCAAATGGAGAAAACTGTCCCCCTATACACGCATATAACTTAGATGCCCAGATGGAAACAGCATCCTTCACAGTATTTAGGAAAATTGACAAGACAAAATTATTGTATAAATGCAGATTATAAATTATCCGTGCTTGATTTCTCACATGGAAAATAAAAAGATCAGACAAAATTACTTCTAAGGCTTTCCATTCTGATACATATTCTAAGATTACCTTTAGATGACAGAATTAGTACAGAATAATATTGCCATAGATCTATTTGTAAAAATTGGAAGTCATTTTAAAGAAGACTACAATTCTCCTGTTCAAAACAAAGTGTTGAATTAAACTTTGTTTTCTCTAAGCAGCCTACATAATGTACAGTTGAGGGAGAGAAAGAGCATGATCTTATTTATGAACATGAGATTATTTATTTTATTTAGTGACATCTCCAGAAAAGGGATTTTACATCTTCAAATCCCTATGTTGTTATATTTAATAAACACCATATCATTTCATTGGGCATCAGGAAATAAAGTTTTTTTAATCATTGTTTGCAGATAAGAAAAGAAACTGAAAAAACATTTGTACCAAAGGTAGTAATTTCGGCAGCTAAAGCCAAAGAACAAGAAACTAGAATTTCTGGAGAAATTACTACGAAACAAAAACAAGTAACTCAAGAAACAGTAAGTTCGATTTTCTAAATATTTTGTAGTTCATTGACAATATCACATTACAGCCAGCTGCAGGTAGCTTATAACTGAAACCCACAAATGGAGAAGTCTTTTGTTGTATATTTTTTGTTATTGTTCCTCTATGTCTAGCATTGAAACTCAAGATGGAAATTATGTTCACATTGCACTATTTTCCACTCACTTGATCAGTTTTCAGGAGACTGTCTACAGAACAGTTTAGGGCACATCTATGAACTTTCTAGACCATACATGAATGGATGATAGATATCATGCCAATCCAGTTACCCACCGGGACAGTCGGTTTCTTTGTGCATAGCCTAAGCCCTCAGTCACTTAGATTGTAATGCACAAACTTTACATAGTTGTAAGACACATCATGTGTGTGCACATGCACACAAACACACACACACACACATACATCAGCCATAAACACCCCAAATAAATAGCAAGGGAAAGTGAGGAAATGCCAGACATCGGCGAAAACGAATACTTCCTCAAAAAAAAAAAAAAAAAAAAAAAAAACCTTCAAATCATGATTGATAAACAGTGACCTAGAAGCGTTTGCTGCTGTTGTGCCCTAGAGCTGTGTAAGGACAATCTCAGTATCATTAAAATCCACATCTCTCCCGTATGTGAAATCAAGCCTTTAAGTGTCAGGAGAGAGGCATTTATCTGAATTCTTCCATGTTGAAGAGGGCACCTGTACTCATCCTCCTTGAACTCAAGCTCTTTGCTGATCTTAGAGCTACTTTCTTCAAAGGTCCAGTTGAGAACCCTGTACACTTAAAAGGCTGACCAGAGGCTGCTGACTGAATTTCCCTCTCCTTACTGTGAGTGAGACACTTTGAATGTAGCAAGAACCCTACTTGGCATAATCAAAGGCATAGAAATCCCCATGGCCATTGCAATGCTGGTGACTGGCAAGTTCAGCTGGCCTATAGTTTTCCAGCCACTTGTCAGCAGCCAACCACCAGGATCGCTAACATGTCAACATGTCTCAAGATGAGATATTTTCAGTTCTAGGACAATTTGCTAAGGAGCATGTGGGCAGAAAAGAAGACCATACCTCAGGAAAGCAGTCTATGTCTGAAGCACAAGTGTAGGCCCCTAAAATGGAAATCTGACATTTTATCTTTCACCACTAAGCATTCTCTGTTTTCCTGAATGTTTCAAGGATGTCGTGCCATTTCTTTTGTATCTTTTGAAACTCAAATCTTTATTTTACTCTAAAAATCAGATAAGACAGGAAACTGAGATAACTGCTGCATCCATGGTGGTAGTTGCCACTGCAAAGTCCACAAAACTAGAAACAGTCCCGGGAGCTCAAGAAGAAACTGCCACACAACAAGATCAAATGCACCTAAGTCATGAAAAGGTGATGACTTCCTGCCAATGTGAAAGTCACTCTTGCACCATTTCATTTGCAAATCACCTACATTTCCATCATGGATCTTAATCATCACTTCTTCACTTTCACCTCTTCTTATAATGCAAATAGAAAATTTCTTTCCCCACACAGCTACCTTTCACCGCCAATTCATTCCTAACTTTCAGACATTCTTTGGCTTGTTACTAATATAATATAATAATTCACTTTAATATCTTCCTATTGAAGCAGATGTCTGTAAATAAGTCAATTCATAATACAAAAAAATGTGCTATTTACAGTGCTATTGAAATGTCTTATAGATTATACTTTTTAAAATGTGAAAAATACAAAAGAGCACTCATTAGTCTTTTATTGTTAATCACATTTTTTTCTTTTAAACTGGACTTATTGTTTAGATATTTTTGCCAGTGAAACAGTATGGATGATCAAAGCAGCTCAAATGATATATTTTAGTGTAATTAAAATTTCCTTGAATAGGAAGAAATTTTGCCTCCTTTCTTTTTGATTTATGTTTATTTTATTAAAGACTTATGGAATTAATGACTATTTTCTTACTTTTTGTGTGTGATCAGATAATGAAGGAAACTAGGAAAACAGTTGTACCTAAAGTCATAGTTGCCACACCCAAAGTCAAAGAACAAGATTTAGTATCAAGAAGTAGAGAAGGCATTACTACCAAAAGAGAACAAGTTCAAATAACTCAGGAAAAGGTGAATACAGATATTTGAGCTGTGAAAAGTTCATCTTTAAACTAATTTCTAGTAAACTATTAACTACAATGTGGTATGAATTATTAATCTGTATTTG